AGAAACTATTCAGTGCTCCGTGTTCGACTGCTGGTGGGAGTGGAAGTTGGTATAACCTTGCTGAAAATACCAGTATCATTTAAATACTTGATCCTAAGAAAACAACCATAGGTATGCAAAAAAGGTTACTCCTAGAAAGTTTTCTATAGTGTTGTTTATAGTCATGAGAGACATTAATATGACCTGAAAGATTGGTTGAATTACTTATTGTACATGATCTATTTAAAACTCACTGCGGGGTGGGGGGGTATTGTAGCACAGAGGGTTAAGCTGCTCCCTGCAGTGCCAGCATCCCACGTGGGCGCCAGTTCGAGTCCTGGCTGCTCCACCTCCAATCCAGCTTCCTGCTAAGGTGCCCGGGAAGCAGCAGAAAATGGCTCAAGCGTGTGGGCCCTTGCACAGACATGGGAGATCTGGATGGAGTTCCTGGCTCCTGGTTTGACTTGCCCCAACCCTGGCCATTGTGGCTATTTGGGAAGTGAACCAGCAAATGGGAGATTCTCTATTTCTCTGTCTCTTTCTCTCTGTCTCTCTCTCTCTCTCCCCCCTTATCTCTCCCTCTTCTCTGTAACTGTCTTTCAAATAAAAAATCTTAAAAAAGCTTTACTATGAAAGTGTGATAAGAAAAAGTACCCATCTCAGCTCTGGGGGGAAAGAGGAGGTTACAAATGTTACACAGACATACAGAACACACAGGAAGAATAAAGTGCAAAAAGTGCAAACAGCAGCCGGTGCCGCAGCTCAATAGGTTAATCCTCCACCTAGCGGCGCCAGCATACCGGGTTCTAGTCCTGGTCGGGGCGCCGGATTCTGTCCCGGTTGCCCCTCTTCCAGGCCAGCTCTCTGCTGTGGCCAGGGAGTGCAGTGGAGGATGGCCCAAGTGCTTGGGCCCTGCACCCCATGGGAGACCAGGAGAAAAACCTGGCTCCTGCCTTTGGATCAGCGCGGTGCGCCGGCTGCAGCGTGCCAGCCGTGGCGGCCATTGGAAGGTGAACCAACGGCAAATAGGAAGACCTTTCTCTCTGTCTCTCTCTCTCACTATCCACTCTGCGTGTCAAAAAAAAAAAAAAAAAGTGCAAACAGCAATTGTCTCTGAGAAGTATAATTATGGGATATATTTATGTTCTTCTGTATTTACAAAAATCTCTATAAAGGATATGCATTACTTTTGTAATTGGAAGAAATAATACAATAAATGTGATTTAAGATCTGCATTCTCCAACACAGATGATGGCCACTTTAGGCAACAACAAGAAACATCCACGCTAGCAGCTGAGAGAAACAGGATTTCCCAGGCTTGTATTGTTAGAGTACAGGTGAAAACCAATAGCATAGGAGCTGAGCATGAAATTCAGATCAGGTCTTGGTAAATTGTTCAATAATTTCCTACCCTATCCTCAAGTCCCTGTCTCCTGAACTAGACACAGTGACAACAGGATTTGTTCCCAACAACTGAGCTGTTGACACAGACCTGTGAAGCTCCTAGTGCCAATGTCCATGCCCTGAATACGGGTGGCCTATTTCTTTTCAAAAAAGGAGGACTGGACACGCACATTCACTTACTGACTCCATCAACCAGCACCTCCGTCCATAGACTCCTACGGATAGATGCTACTCTTCATCCAGCTACAAGCTGCTATGGACAACACCACAGCATTTCTTCCCCCACAAAAGTAACAAAGTCGTACATTTAAAACAAAGTCTTTGGAGTAAAACTGTAATAATAAAGCAATAAGAGAACAATGGGGTCAACTTTTGTGGATTAATCCCAAATTCCAAAGAAAAATGGATGTACAGAGTATTTATTCTTCAGAGGAGAGTGAACAGGTCCAGGGGTAGATTGGGCAGGGGGAATAACTTCTAATTCTCTAAAGCCCAGTAGGGTAACTGTGGTTGACAACAATTGATTGTGTATTTCAAGAGCACTGGTGGAGAGGATTTTGAATGTGCCCAACAGGAAGACGGGATAAATGTCTAAGGTGACGGATGCACCAGTTACCCTGATCTGATGCTCTTACACTGTGCACACGTCCCAAGATGTCACACTGTACCCCACAAATATGTCTGACTGTGTCAACTAAAATGCACATATAAGGAACCTCTGAGTCCTCTGAACAGGCACCGTAAGCAAAGCACACCCTCCCACACTGCAACAATTTATGGACAAGAAGTTGTCAAAATTAAATGGTGGCAGCAGAGATGTCCAGGGAACACCGCTTTATGAGTGGTGTGACAGATGAGTGTGTGGGAGGGTGAGCAGGGCACAACAGAAGAGCACTGGAATGGAGGCTGTGTGAGGAAACAGTACCATCACACAGAAGCCTTGAGAAACCCAGGCCCCCTCGCCAAAGAACCTGTTCTACCAAGATGCTAAATTGGGTCATGTGCCTTTTTTATACTAAATTTTTCATTAAATAAACTTTTGCAATAATTAAATATATTTCAAAAGAGAAAAATGGATACATTCATTCACTCCATTAAGCAGTCCACCTGTCCATTACTCTACCTCTCTGGCAGTCTGCAGGTGAATCTCTCATCACTCAGTCCAGGGCTGCTTTGAAATGCCCCACACTAGAGTCAGCCGGCTGCAGACATGCGCCCTGCCCTCACCGCCCTCCTATCCAGCCTCAGTATACTCATTTGTAAAATAACAATAGAGTTAATACTCAATCATGCCTATGAAGTCTCCAAAAAATCCCTAATATATGTGAGTTGGACAGTTTCGAAGTTGGTGAACTGATCTATACGCTGAGAGGAGTGGGAGTAGCACACCCCAACTCCATAGGGAGGGAAGCTCTTATGTTCTAGACTCAGTCTATGCACCTGTTCATCTAGCTGCTCATTTGTATCCTCTAAAACATCACTTATAGTAACTGGTAAATATGTTTCCCTGAACACCCAGAGCTGTTGTAGCAAATTATTGAATGTAAAGAGAGGATCAGGGGTTTATAGCTCAGGGTGGTCATGGGGAGCCAACGCCAGGATGGCTGAGAAGGAGCTCTGGCCACAGGGTGAGGTCGAGCATTTGGGGCAGCCCTGCCTGGGTTCAGGATGGACTGAGAGAGAACACGGCCCTCCAGAATGCACGCTGGGGCCAGGATGAGGACTGGGGTGGGGGTCGTGAGGACCTAGAGGGGTACAGGGGTTCTCTCTGTAGGAAGGCTGTGAAAGCCTAGGAGCGTGAGGCCACTGGACACGCAGCCCATGGAATGCACCAAGGGAATGAGCCCAGGGAGGAAGACCAGGCTGGAGGACCACAGATGGCTCAGAGTGGACCCTCAGGTGGAACCACCCATCAGGGGTGAGCAGATCTAGCTGGCTCGGTGCCCCCAGCAGTGTCCACTCTTCCCTCTGGAGGCTGGGGGCTCACTTCAACTCTTGCCTCTCCCCTGCTGACCAAACCTTCTTACTCTGCCCTGGAATCTGCAGTTCTGTTCTCAGCTGCTGCCCATCCACTGGCTGCAGAGGCAGTCACCTCCCTGGTGCTGCAGGTGGAGACCAGCAGCCTGGCAGGGGCTACCTGACCCAACAGGCTGCTATGAAAGACCGTGAGGAGCCATTGCCACGGCTGCCCCGGAGGACCTGGTCTTCTGCCCAGCTGCGCCCCAGGGCCAGCTGCCACTCTATTCTCCATTCTCTGTCTTTCCTTTGTGGATTCCACACAACATCCCCGCAGGAACAAAGCAAACATTCACCACCATCACATGGTAGACACAGCTGTACTTAGGCACCTTCAGGGACACAGTCACACTGACTTTCAGCTGAGCAGGCACCATGGTTCACGCGCACAAGGTCCCCAGGTCCGGCTGCAGCTCTTGTTGGGAAGGGCGAGCCCCTCCTGACCCCTCCCCTCTCACTTCCGCATGGGATCCCTGGCTGGGACAGAGGGCGGGTGTCCTGGAAACTCATCCTGCCTCTCACTTTTCTCCAGCTACCCCTGACTTGCTCTTGACCTCTTCCTCACCGGAAGCTAAACCTCTTCAAGCTCCCATTCAGCTACAGGGCTGCTGTTTTTAAGCAAATACTCAATGGAGTTGGCCATGAGATCCAGATCAAAGCCCAGTAAGGCCTCCCTCCTTCCCCCATCCTCTGGGAGGCAATCGGAGGTCCCAGTAGCTGCCACATCTGCCCACACTGGGATAAAGTGGGGGATCCCTGGGGGGCATGGCTGTAGGGAATCCCAGATTCCAAGGCAGCTGATGTCTCTGTGTCCGGTCCTCAGAAACCCTGCTTAGGTCCACCTTCCCACCCCTCTGGGCCCCCACAAGGAGAGAGACTCCTTGCAACCTGCAGGTGCCTCCCCTCAGGAAAATGGGACTGGAACACAGATCCCAGCTGCCCTTGGAGCCTCACTTCCTTCCGCAAAGGTTAATATGAGGCTTCCTCACACCTTGTACCCCTGCCTACATAACCCAGCCTGAGGCCTGGGGCTGGGGTCATACCAGTCTCCACACACTCTGCCCTCTCGCTCCTTCCCATCTGTGGGGACTCACGGGGGTCATTTCCTGTGCCCCACCCCCCCCACTTCCCCAGGGGATTAAAACAGCAGGGCAGAGCTTTGATCACGGGAACCCTCAGTAATCCTTTCCCATACGTCAACCACCACCGCCAAGGTCAATGGTAACTTCCGAGCGTCTGAGCCAGGCACTGCAGACCAAGCACTGTACTAATGTGGTCTCTATCAGCCCTCGCAGCATGGTATGAGGGCGACACGCTAGACAGCAAGGCCAAGAAGAGAGGTGCCAGAGACCCAGGAGCAGTCGGATGGCCACCTGCCTCCACCAGCTATGCGATGCTCCCTTAAAGTGTGCTGTGTAGCGGGGACCCACCGGACCTGCCAGGCCTTGGGGGCTCACCATGCCTCTGGTGAGGGGACCCCCGGGGGCCTGTGGGGGACCCGCCGGACCTGCCAGGCCTTGGGGGCTCACCATGCCTCTGGTGAGGGGACCCCCGGGGGCCTGTGGGGGACCCGCCAGACCCGCCAGGCCTTGGGGGCTCACCATGCCGCCGGTGCACTCTCGGCAGTCCTGCAGACAGCTGATGTTCTCCCAGGTACTGTAGGCCTTCAGCCCCGCCACCAGCGCCTGCAGGGAGCGACTGCTGACGAGCTCCTTCCCCTGGAAGATGTCCTCATCCAGGAGGTCCCCAGCATACCTGCAAGGCAAAGCAGGGTCCTGTGATGGGCGCCACAGCCAAGGACGCAGCAGCGGAGTGGCACGCCAGGGGACAACAGTCCCATGTCGCGTCCAGGGTGGACCTCAAGGCTACCGCAGTCACCCAAAAGGGTCCACACCCCGGCATCACGAGCGCATCCACAACCTGCACATCCACCACTCTGTCCTCCCTTTGAAAGCCTCTCCTGTACCTGTCCTGGTCTGCTTTTCTGCTGGTCCATTTATATACCTTGTGGCTTGCATCAGCATCTGATTTGGCACTTTCGCCGCACCCCAAAGTGGGCACTGTGTTTAACTCTCCACCACCTCTTCTGGTCCACACCTCTAGAATCATATGCCACATTATTTTCTTAGTATTCACGTACCCCAAATGTGTCCCATGTCTCTTGTCTTTGTAATCCTTTATTACAGTTATGTTGAAAATTCTGAAACGGATTGAGCAAGGGGTAGAGAAGTGGCCCCCAAAGACGTCCACCTCCTCATCTCTGTGACCTATGAATAAATGACCTCAAATGGCAAAGCAGACTTTGCAGATGTGACTCACTGAGTGATCCTCAGAACGGATGAAGGGATAATCTTCGATGATACAGGTGGGCCCCATGGACTCACTCGGGTCCTTATCAGGGAGAAGGGGCCCTGTGGATGCACAGGGGACCTTGCAGGGGAGGGAGAGGCAGTCAACAGCGTGGGAAAATGAAAGCCATCAGCAGGATGCAGCCTGAGAAAGACCCAGCTGGCCATCGCCGACTTGGAAGGTGGAAGGGGCCGCATGCGGTGTAAGGAGACGGCCGCCAGGAGCCAGAACAGGCCAGGACATGGACTCTCCCCAGGTCCTCCAAGAGGAAGGTACTTTGCTGATACCTTGACTTTAGAACAGTGAGACTCATTTTGGACTTCTGATTTTACAACCTCAGGTTAATAAATTAGTGCTATTTTAAGCCACTGGGTCTGTGGCAGTGAGTTACAGCAGCAACAGGAAATCAGTGCAGTTTGAGACCACTTCCTTTCCTAAAAGGACGGTCATGATTTTCCTTCATTGTTCAGCCACCCATGGGCACAAGTACCATGCGGGGCGAAGTGATGCTTGCAGCTCTCCCTCCACACAGACGTCTCCCCACCCATGCTCATCTTCTTCTTTACCAGATTTCAAACCATCACAGTTGGAGAGCTCAGCTTTTGCTCTCTTCCTCCTCTTGAACACTTTTCTTTCAGTGTCATTTAAAAAATTTCCCTTTAAAATGAGTTACTGTCCATAGCAACCACTAGGAAGAAAAGCTTTACTGAAAATGTTCTCAACCAAACCCCAGGACAGAGAGGAAGCCTAGGCACTGAAGGCAAAGGGATCCACACGCTGGGGCAGGTACCTCCTTCATCTATAGGACCCAGGGAAGTACCTAAGGTACAGCCTCATGGGATCTCGTCTTCAGCGGAAGCCCCAGAGGCTGGAGACTGACAACAGTGATGGCTAGAGGTCCTGACTCACTGACTGCTCTCCATCAATCAAGCGTCACCCACTGACATGATGAGGGGTGGTTCCCAACTTAGGATGGTTTGACATATGACTTTTTCACTTTATAACGGTGCAAAGGCAATAGACATTCAGTAGACATCATATTTCACATTTTGAATTTGACCTGTTCCAGGCTAGTGCTGTGGTGAGATACTGTCTTGTGATGCTGGCCAGCGGTGGCAGAAAAGCTCAGGAAAAAAAAAAAAAAGCTCTCAGGAAAGGGTACAGCCAGTACTCTGCACTGTGCCACGTCGCTAGAGTTGAGGTACTGTGTTTTGTGCTCTCACTACAAAGTGCCCATCTGTGTGTGTATGTGACATTTTCGATGGTTTATTATAAAACAGGCCTTGATATAGATGATGTTGCCCAACTTTAGGATAATGTAAGTGTTCTGAGTGGGGTTAAGGTAATTTAGGGGCCAGTGCTGTGGTACAGTTGGTTAGGCCGCAACCTACTGCGCTGGCATCCCATATGGGCACCTGTTCGAGTCCTGGCTGCTCCACTTCTGATCCAGCTCCCTGATCTCGTGCCTGGGAAAACAGCTGAAGATGGCTCAAGTGATTGGGCCACTGCACCTATGTGGGAGACCAAGATGGAGCTCCTGGCTCCTGGCTTTGGCCTGGCTCAGCCCTGGCCATTGCAGCCATTTGGGGAGTGAACCAGCAAATGGAAGATTCTCTCTCTCTCTCTCTCTCTCTCTTTCTCTCTCTCTGTCACTCTGTGTGTGTGTGTGTGTGTGTGTGTGTGTGTTTGTGTCTCCATCTCTCTCTGTAACTTTGCCTTTCAAATAAAAAAATAAATCTTTTACAAAAAAAGTAGTCTAAGCTCAGCTATGATGTTTGACAGGTTGGATGTATTAAAAGTATTTCTGAGTTAAGAGATTTTCTACTGCAATGGGTTTATCAGGACACAATTCCATCACAAGGTGAGGAGCATCTTTAGATGGTTTTTCCTCCTCTAAAATGTTAATATGGTAGGGACCAGCGCTGTGGCGCAGGTTAATCCTTCCCTGGGGGTCAGCATCCCATATGGGCACCGGTTCTAGCTGCTAGCTGCTCCTCTTCCAATCCTCTCTGCTGTGGCCTGGGAAAGCAGCAGAAGATGGCCCAAGTGCTTGGGCCCCTGCACCCACTTGGGAGACCCAGAAGAAGCTCCTGGCTTCAGATCAGCGCAGCTCCAGCTGTTGGTTCCCATTTGGGGAATGAACCAGTAGATAGAAGACCTCCCTCTCTGTCTCTCCTTCTCACTTCTGCAGCTCTACCTCTCAAATAAATAAATAAAATCTTTTTAAAAAGTGTTAATATAGTAAATAATACAGATTGGTTCTCAAATATGAAACCAACATAACATTCCTGGGATAAACGCCACTTGGTCATAATGCACTATAGTTTTCATATTTTACTATAGCAATCTCCTAATAGTTTGATTATAAGGGATCTTGGACTCTTAATGTCTTTGTCTGATTATTGGTATCAGGATAATACTCCTAAAATGGTAGTTTTTCCTTTCTTAAATATTTGATGGGTTTCAGTAATGGTGGAAGAAAGAAACATTAATGTTCTCTATTTCTTTTTTGAGTCACTTTTGGCTATATATATATATATATATATCTTTCAAGAAACTTGTCTTCTTTATGTACACTGTTAAACGTATGGGCAACTGTAATATTTAATTATATCCTTTCATTCTCTGTAAGATCTACAGTGATGTCTCCTCTTTAAATTTTCTCTCTCTTTTGAACAACATAGATTAAGGCCTATCGATTTTATCTCTTTTTTGAAAGTAAACAACAGTTTTTGGCTTACCTATTTTCCCTCTATTTTTTTGGCTGTTACTTACTTTTCATTGATTAAAAAATACTTTTAAAATTTGAGAGAGAGGAAATTCCATTCACTGATCTACCCCACAGATGCCTGCAACAGCCAAAGTTGGGATCCAGAAATGCAGCCAGGTCCCCACATGGATGGCAGAGACCCGACCACATAGGCCATCACTGCTGTCTCCCAGGGCCTGCACCAGCAAGAAGCAGGAATCAGGAACTGGAGCTGGGGACAGAACCCAGGTACTCTGATATAGGAAGTGGGCACCCCAACCACCATCGTAACCAGTAGTCTAAATGCCCTCACTCTTATTTTGTGGTTTCTGTGTTCACTTTTATTATTCCTTCTACTTATTTTTGGGCTTTGGGCTTAACTTGTTCCTCTTTTTCTAGTTTTTTTTAATTTGAATTTACACCATGGATTTTTAAAATTTCTATTTTGATATTTTTATTTATTGATTTTTTTTTATTTATTTGAAAGGCAGAGAGAGAGACTGAAAGAAATCTTCCATCTACCTGCTGATTCACTCTCCAAATGCCTGCAACAGGCAAGGAGTAGACTGAACCAAAGCCAGGGGCTTGGAATTCAATCCTGGCAATAGAGACCCAAGTACTTGAGCCATCACTCGTGGCCTCCCAGGGTGCACATTAGCAGGAAACTGGAATTGGAAGTAGAGCCAAGACTCACCCCCAGGTGCTCTGATATGGGATACAGGCATCCCAGGCAGCATTTTTTATTTTTGTATTTATTTCAAAGACAGAGTTACGAGAGAGGTAGAGTCACACAGAGAGAGGTCTTCCATCCACTGGTTCACTCCCCAAATGGCCGCAATGGCCAGATCTGAGCCCATCTGAAGGCAGGAGCCAGGAGCTTCTTCCCGTTCTCCCACGTGGGTACAGGGCCCCAAGCATTTGGACCGTCTTCCACTGCTTTGCCAGGCACATTAGCAGGGAGCTGGATAAGAAATGGAGCAGCCAGGACTCAAGCCGGCACCCATATGGGATGCCGGTGCTGCAGGCAGGGGCTTTAACCCGCTGCCCACAGTGCCAGTCCCTCACCCTCCAAGCAGCATCTTGACTGCTGTGACTAATCCCTATTCCCTTATTTTTTCCTAATGTGGACACTAAAGCCGTAAGTTTTCCTCTCAGCAGTGCGTCAGCTGCATGCCACAACTTCAACGTTTGTATTTCATTTTAATGTAGTCCAAAATATTTTCTAATTTCTCTTACAATTTCTTCTTTGACCTGTGTGTCATTTGGCCTCCAATATTTGGGGATTACTCCAGATATTTTTCTGCTATTGATATATAATTTAATTCCATGCTAATCAGAAGATATGCTCTGTATGATTTCAGTACTTTGAAATTCACAGTCTGTCTCGATATTCATGTGCACCTGAAAATGATGTGCGAACTGATATTTTTGGGTAGAACATTCTACGAACATCAGTGAAATCATGTTCATGATGATCACTGTTCATACCTTTTATATCACTGTGAATATCTATTATATGAACTACTCAAACAGAAGAATTGATATCTGCAGCTGCAATTTTGGATTTGTCAATGTCTCCTTTCATTACTAGCCAGTTTTTCACATAGTTGAGGCTATCTTATTGGTCCATATATATTCAAATGTTTATATCTTCCTG